TCCAGCCCCTCTCCAGCCCCTCTCCAGTCCCTCTCCATCCCCTCTCCATCCCCTCTCCAGCCCCTCTCCATCCCCTCTCCAGCCCCTCTCCAGCCCCGCTCCCGCCTGCAGGTGGGGCTCAGGCACCGGCTTCTCCTCCCCACGCTCCTCCCGCCCCTGGGGATCCCGCAGCCCCCGCTCCGCTCCCCTCGGCTCTGTCCCCCCGCAGCTCCAGGCTCCCCGAGCAGCCTGTTGCAGCCTGGCCGGGGCAGGGTGACCCCAGCAGCTCCCTCATCTTCCTCCCCAGGCCCTGCTTTGGAAAAGGACGTGTTTTATTTCCAGGTTTGCTTTAAATGTCCAGAGAAATTGAATTTATTTGAAATCAATGAAGAAAGAAACAGCTCTGAAGAAACATTGTGTTTTGAGGGACGTTTTCTTCAGTTTGTTTTCTGTTAAAGGGCAGAAAAAATACCTTGCTCAACTGATGCTTAATGAGTTCAGGGGCTGGGGAGGGGAGAACTGTGGCCACAGACTCCAGCAGAGGATGGAAACCCATCAGGCTTCTGTCCCCCCAAAAAAGAGGCCAGGGCTGAAGGTTCACGTGGATCCTGAAACCTGCAGTGGGAAGATCTTAATTGCAGTGCTAGGAAAGCAAATCCAAAGCAAATTTGAGAAGACAAATCATCATGGAATCATATTTGGATAAGTACTCTTTGCTGCGTGGCACTAGAAGTTCAGGAGATACCAAACCCTGTAGTTACAGGCTGTTCAGTTCCATGTTGGGAACTTGAGACGTGCTGCATTACCAGGGGTGAGGGCACCACAGTCTGCTGCTCCCCAGCAGTTCTGTATCAGGACACTGGCCAGGAACAAGCAGAGAACATAAGGGAAAAGTACAGGGAACTCCTCCAGCTGTGGAGAATATTCGTGTTTGAGACCAAGTCAAGTGTTCTAGCTCTACCAGGTGCTCCTGGTGTAACACAGGCCAGACCCTTCTCATGTGGAAGCCTCTCGACTGCCTAAAACAAGATCTGAATTGTGAGAAGTTCAGCAACAACTCACTTGTGTTTCACAATTACCTGGAGCAGGAATCCCAGACTTGTAACTCCTCACCACAGTGTATTAATGACCCCTCTGCCAGTGTAAGCAAATATTAATGCACAGCAGATGCTGAGAAGAAGCAGAGGACACAAACCCCACATGTTGGCTCAGACACAGCAGACTTGGAAATGACTTTTTTGGGAGGTGACTCTTGCAGCAGGGCTTTGGATCTGAGCTGTGCTGTGGACACAGCCAGATGTGTTTAACAACCTGGAGGTGGCAGAGTCCAGCTCCAAGGGATCTGCAGTAGTAGCATTTGAGCCCCAGGGAAGGCTCATGAAGGACAACTGTGAACATTTGGAAACTCAGTTACCCTCTGTCCACAGTAAGGGCAGAAATCTGACATGATTTCCTTAAGCTCATTCTTAGAAATACATGATTGAACATGCTTTCTGAAACCATTCAAAGCCCCTGCCAGCTTTCAGCTCCAAGAAGGGGAGGTGGTTCTGACTCTATTGCCCCTAAAAAAATGCTGGTTTTGGAACAGAAATGTCCCAGAGAAGTTTGTATCCTCACAGGACGACGTGCCATTCCCCATCCAGGGAATGGCACCCATCTTCAGCACTTCATATGGTAATGAATTTAAACAAATCCAGCCACCAGGATTTGTCTGGAGAGCATTAGCTCCTTCCCTGCAGGGCTCTGCTACCACATGGCCTCTCTGCCACGCAGCCCTTCCCCTCCTTCAGCAATAATTCCCCAGTGTTGTAAGTTCCAGGACCCCTCACCCTGCTGGGAGGTGAGCAGGACTGTGGGGCACGCACAGGGCTGGGCTGACACCAGCCACAATGGTGCTACCAGGAGGAGAAACAAGTTAAACACCAGAGCTACAACATGCTGTGAAGGAGTTAACTCCTGATGAAACGGAGCTGCCAAAGAGCTGGTAACTAGAAGCGAAATACTTGATCTTTGTATTGCCTTGGTTCAACACACCCCCACCCCCTTCTACTTCCTTGATGTCACAGAGCCACCTCTGATCTTTCAGAGTTGAATGAGAACGTTTTTGCTGACGTACATACCAACAACTAAATATAAAACACAGGGAATGAAGCCAAATGCCCTGGATGAATTGCTTGGGTTTGTTTCCTCCTGGAATCAACAGCAGCATAATGTCACAGTAAACATCTAGAAAGTTGTGCAATGTTCACTGGTGCTTTTAAACTGTTCAGGCCCCATGGTTTAGTGCTTTTAGAAGGGCCTGTTTATTTCTGTTGTTCAAGTCTTCCCAGCTAGCACGTTCTCCCTTTGCTCTGCTGCCTATGAAAGTCACATGGATTCAGCAGGGTATTCTCTGTCCACACGGGCATGTGACACACAGTGGGTCATCTTTCATCTGGCTACAGGTTTTCCACCTGAACCTTTCAACTTCTTCACAAGCAGCTTCAAAAGAAACCCCTCTTTTAGCCCCAGCATCAGAAACTTGTCTGTATTCTTTACCACAACCTCATGCTGCAGAGCACAGTTTTTTCACAGAAGAGGGCTTTAAGTGCTAAAAAACAAGCAAAAAATAATCCACAAAACCCTAAGCCCCAAAGATTGGAGTGTGCTGACCTGCCAGGCTTTAGGCAACACCAGCATTCGTATTTATTTAGGTCTGAACAGCTTTCCAAGGGCTGCCACAAGGTCTTGCCCAGGTTGTACCACATGATGCACGTTGCTGTGCAGGTTCCCAGAGCTGTTCCCAACCCCAATGTAGTTTGGGGCAGCTCTGCAGGAAAAGGGAATTGACTCTCCCTGTGCCTGAGTCAGTGTCAAACACTGGCCAGAGCCTGGCGTGCCAGGCAGGACCACTCTCACAGAGAGAACATGTGGTGGGAAAGGCAAGGGCAGGAAACAGAAGTTATAAATAGACCTGAGCAAGAAAAAACAATTCCAGCTCATGATAAATTAAAGTTTTGAAATAGGATCTCACCAAAAAAACAATACAGTCCAGTAACTGCATGGGGTGATGCCAAGTCAGGCACAGGGGCTGGAGGGAAGGACTCTCCGCAGGGGCGTTTATGGCCAACAACACTCACAGACCAGCAACTGTAGTTCTGGGAAGCATTTAGTGGAACTATGGTATTTGGCTCCTGAAAGTTTACAACTCTGTTGCTTAAGTTTCTGTAAGAGTGGAAGGACTGGACTAATTAATACAGACCCTCAGGTCTCAGGTGCAAAGCTTAGTTTCCATGTCACAATATTCTGATTCAGACAGCAAGGATTACAACTGCCTGTGTTGCACACAAAGTTAGGACCAACACACCAGCATCCTCATTGTACCTTCTGCCATATTCAGTGACTTCTTCATAGCTGGTGGGGAAGAGAAAACTAAGTCATGCACCATTCTGTTCAAATAACAAATTGCAGTGAGTGCAAACACGGCAGGAAAATATTTGATCTTCATTAAAAATGCCCAAATCTTATCACTATATTCACACTTTATCAAGTGCTTCTTTTGTACAACAAGCTTCCTGACTCTATTGATTAAACAAAAAGCCAGAGTTTAAACAATGCATAACAATTAGGTCTCAAAAAAACACCACCAGGAACCTACACTCAGTCCTTACTCAGACACTGGAATTACAAAGTACTGACAAGAGCCCACTAACAATTTCAAATCAATTTTATTTTCTTAAATTGGTGTTGTACAATTTAAAGCAAAAAAAAAAAGTCACACAAAACACAAATAAAAAATGTTGACAAAGTATCAAGCATTACCTTATAAAGAACATCATCATCATACACTCTCACAAACCTGAAGATAACGTGTTTATTAGACTGAGGTTTCTTCAAATCTATTAAAGACGTGAGACACAAACGCTGCAACAGTAACAAAGCCATGACAATAGCAGTGGACACTACACTAGCAACTTCAACAATGGCTGGGAGTTGTTTTTGGGGTTTTTTTTTCTGGTTTTTTTCTCTTTTTTTCCTTTTTTTTGCATACCTTATCATCTACAAAGCAATAAATATTTTTCACCAAAAAAAAGTTGGTTTCACACTACATGCAGTTAGATAAAAAAGAAAGTCACCAAAGTGATGGCAAAATAAATCACCTATCTGATTTGCTTCCCTCCCCCCCCATCCCCCAATTTGGGGGGTTTTGTGTGTTTTTTGTTGGTTTTTTTGTGTTTGCTTTTTTTTTTAAATTCAAGCACAGTGGCTAAGTTTCAAGTATTGAGAGAAAACATATATATACACGTTTGTGTTTGTGTGTGTATCTAGATACACACACACACACCCTTGTATGTATATACACAAACACATACATATATATATATATATAGGTTGTAGGTCTGTAAACCACAATTTTTTGGAGCAATATATACTTGTATACATTGAATGTGGACAATTTTGATACATTCAAGTACAGCTGGAAGGTTAGTGCTGAGCTTGCCACACACAGGGATCATGAAACCTGCAGCAGAGACGTGGATCCCAGGCTGGGCTTCCCCTTGGCAGGAGGCTGTGGGTGCAGGCTCGGGGGTCCTGGGGGGGATCCTGGGGGTCCCGGGTGTGTAAGCAGGTGTCTGTATTGCAGAGTCAGTTCTGGCTTAGTGCTGTCACACTGCACCACTCCCTCCTGCAGCATAGCCCTTTGCAGAACTGGTCAAAGCCTTTCAGAAGCAGTCTGGGTCTCCTTGCATTTCTGGGCACAGGCTGGGGGAGATGGTTGGTTTTGTCTTTTTTCTTTCCTCTTTTCTTCCCAGGCACAAGCACAAAGGGCCACAGAAGCAGCAGGCTGTGAAGGTACAATGTAACAGCAGCCCAACCCTGAAGCATTTGTGAAAGCTGCACTTACTGGTCGGGGCAATCTGAAATATTTTAACATTTCTTTATTGGTATTTCTGCTCTGTGAACAGAAACACCTACCTTGCCACAGATCATGCAGCTTTCAAGTCAATTAAGTTACTCCTGAAACCCTGGTGAAGTAACATGTTGAACGTGCTGATATTGAGAGAGAAAAACAAAAAAGCAATGAGGACTTAACCACCCTGTGCAAAGTCTTTTCAGATCCCCAAAAACAAAGCCTGAGGTTTCGAGTTGCTTTCAAAGATACTTTTCTGCCCAGCGCTAAGAAAATACTGCCACGACTCTGATCCATGAGGACACACCCGTGCACACAACCAGCCACCCTCTCACACGTGCTCCTTGCATCCCAAGCCTCAACCACCACTCGAGCCACTCACACCCACAGTCTCATTTGGCTAGAGTCTCCTTAAAAATAAATGCTGAACATAAAACACTACATGATTTTCTTTATATATAGATACATACATTAAAAAAAAATAAAATTGAAGCAGCAAATAAAACTTCTGAAAAAAAGCCAACACATTTCCAACTGTAAGTGTGCAGGGGTCATAACCCCTGTTCTTGAGCTCTGAAAAAGCATGGAGCTTTGTATTGACTGTCCTTAAAAGAACATTTAAATTAAAAAAAACAAAACCAAAACACAACACATCTTGGTACTGCCAGACTGCAAGTCAGCTTTGCCTGGTGTGGAGGAGGAACAGCACAGGCTCTGCAGTGCTTTTTGCCTCACCCTCACAAGATACAGTACAGTTAAATACATACAGTTACACACAAACCATATATATATATATCAATATATATTCACCCTTAGGAATACATATTAATATACGCACACACGTAGTGCAATAAAACAACCAGGAAGCAAGGAAAGGAATAAAAAGAACAGCATTCCTAACAGTCGTGATGTTCCTGGGTTGTTGTGTGATGCAAAGTCAACTTCTCCAAGTTCCCATAGTGTGTAAAGTGCTCCTTTGATTCACAAAGCTAGTGTTTTCAGGGTTTTTTTGGGGAGGGACTTGAGGAAAGGGGTTATTGAGCAAGAGCTGAAAGCAGGACAGTGCCAGTGCTTCCTCCTGGTAGATATGTACTGACAGGCCGAGCCCAACGGCCACGAGTCCTTCATGTTGATCCCGCTGAGCCTGGGGACCAAGGGAGGAACGGATTCATTTTGGCTTCTTACAAACACAGGAGCGTAACACCTTCTCTCCTCCTCCTGTTCCCTGCACAGTCTCTCTCCCTGTGCTGTCTGCCCACCAGGCAGAGAGGCAGTCTGATGGCAGCTGACAGAGATGCAAACTTCCCTGCAGCAGATGTGTGTCCTCCGCGTCGTCTGGTGACTCTGCAGAAGGTGGGAGCTACTTCTGCCACGCTCAGGCAAAAGGGAACCACTCCCTCCTCTCTGCCATTCAGTAAACAGTCCAAGGCATAAACACAGATGAGAAGGGACAAAGGAGGGGAGCCTCGGGTTGCCAGGAAGCTTGAAGATGCCTGGCTCTCAGCTGGGGTGGGGGAAAGTACAAACTGGCCTTGATTTCTGAATGACACCCTCCAACATGAACTAAGCCAGCAGTTTCAGCACATCCATTGCCTGCAATGGACACAGCACTGGAATACCCTGTTCATAAGCAAGAGGGGCAGTCAGCAGTCTTATCCTTCAAAGTGCTGGGGAGAAGCAGACTTCCATCCTTCATCCCCTCTGCCAATGGGGGAAACCTTTCCACATCAACCTCGTCTTGGCCTTCGGGCCGGGAAGTATTTGTGCTTGTTGCAGTCACACATCCCTGCAAAGGCATCCGAGTCCGTGGAACAACTTCCCAAAATGTCAAAATACGAAACACTGAGCAGTTCATCCTCCAGGTCTCCTACTGCCAAAACTGTTTCCCACCACAGCAGCAGGCTGTTGGGAACAAAGTGATCAGCTGGGGGGGAGGTGTGTGAAGAACAACCCCACTGGCATCAGGCACAGAACCCTGAGAGCAGAGCTGACAGCCTGCGCTCGATGCACAGCTTACCTGGGAGAGAAAGACAATGAGAAATCAACTGATTTTCCTGGAAATACAGAGACTACTAAAACGTGATAAAGATTGGAAAACAAACTAAAACAACAAACAGAACTTCAGCAAATCTGAGGAGCCCTCTGAGAATCGCTACCAGGTGCTAAGACTTAGTGAGGACCTGACCACAAACACCATGCTGGGAAGGGACAGGCTGAAGGGAGGAAAATCAGAGGTCCAACAACAAAAGCCAGGAGGCAGCAGTTCTGATAGAGTTATTAAGATGTTATAAAGAACCACCACCTTCCAGCAGCAGTTCATTCACTTTCAGTTATTGGAGTGGCTATTGCCAGGAGGCAAGATGACTCAAGGTCTCCAGTGCCATTTGCCATGGCTTACAACTGAAAGGCTGAGCCCAGCCCAGCACGGTCAGTGCCAGATTCTCACTGCCTGAGCCCAAGATTCTCTCAAAAACTAAATGTTTGGTGGAATTAATTCCTCTCACAGGAAGAACTGCTGTATTTCTTGGGTCATCATTTTACTTTTCAGAAATAAGTCATCCTATACCTGAGATCTCAAAGGAAATGCATACCCACTGCAGCCCACCAGGGAACAGCTCAATCAGGAAGCTGGAATGTAAGGTAATACAGGGAATACCAGGGTGTCAAAGAAATCTATTAGATGCATTAACTCTATCTCTGGACAAAAGATGTGATTTAGGTTTGGCAAGAAATGCTACAATGGAAACTATTTAGTGTTCCCCATTCACTTAGCCCTCCAGTACCACTCACCTCCTGCCAACCTCCCTTTGTGCTCCTTCAGTGAGCCTCCCCTCAGCTGTGAAAGTCGGTGATAATTAGCTGACTGATTGCCTGTGAGCCAGAAATCTCTTCTCTCATTACCTAGCTGAGAGCTCTGCCTACACAGAGGACCAGAGCAGCCTGGCAGCACTCTAGATGCTGGCCCAAGAAAGGCCTTTGGTAGCCAGCAGAGAGGTGAGGCAGGGTTTGCCAGCTGTGCTCTTCCCCTTCAACCATGCTGAGGCAGGGCTGGCTCTGCTCTGGTGGAGCAGAGCCACGGCCAAGCCCAGCTGCTCTAACACAGGATGGCCACCCCCATCCCTCTGCCTGCTGCCCATGGAGGGAGATGACTGAGGTGATTAAACCCCAGCCAGAAGGGCAGGGAAAGTGCACTCAGAGCAGGTGAGGTCAGTCCTTCCCACTGCACACCCGCTCCTTGTGGAGCCTGCAGCAGTGCAGAGGAACTCAACTCACCACAAAGGGGGAGCAAGGGAGAGGTGACAGCTTAGAGCAGTAGAGGGGCTCATCTCTCCCTGGGATGGAACCCAAATGACAGCAAATACGTAAGAGTTCAGCTTTCACTGCTACAGCAAGCACTGGCTGATGACAAAAAAATTGTCTGCTGCCTTCTCAGCCTGGGCTGGGGCACTGGACAGGAGAGCAGTCCTGTTTCTGAAGACATGCTGGAGGAGCCCTGGCTGTGCTGACTGGCCATCCCTGCCTGACAGCCCATGCAGCTTCACGTTCCCAAGCACCCTGTGCAATCAGACCAATGGTTCTGGCTGGAAACCAAACCCAGGCCTCTGCTGCTGCCAGACCACTTCCTTCAGCAAGTTCTTTCACACATCAAAAGCTCCAACAAAGCCCTGGCAATTGCTCTGCATGGGAAGTGCTCAAAATACATCTCAGAGCAAGGACCCACATTTCTAACAGTTTTCCTGCTGGGAAACCAGGAGGCTAGGCTGCTAGGAGCTGTAATAAGCCAGAAGCTCATTGCTATGCCCACAAGACTTAGCCAAAGTAGCTGGGTCCTAGAATTTCTGATCCATGCAGCTAGAAACATGCAACATGGTCTAGTGTGGAAAAAAAAAGGTTACCAAACACTCACATTTACTGATGTTTTCTATGTCCCCCTGTTCAGTGATGATGTTCAGGAGCCCCTCCATCAGCAGCAGAGCCTTGTGGTACCTCTGTGCACAGTCCTCTCTGTGGTGGAACATCTCATCCAGGGCTGCAGATTGCACCTGCAGGCAACAACCCCACCGAAGAAGTTACTCCCAGACCAGGCTCAGCTTTCCCAGCACGGCCCCTCAGATGCAGGGGCACGCCCCTTGCCCAGCCCCCAGAGGCTGCACACAGCAACCACCTGCTAAGCTCAGCGGCAGGAACCTCGAATGCCCCAGCCCTGCCCCCAGGCACGGCAGCGGTTCCTACCATCTGCACAGCGTAGCTGAAGATCAGCTTCTCTGCTGTGATGCTGTTGATCCGATCCATGAGCTTCTGTTTGTCCAAGAAGAACCTCTGGAGTCTCATGTTGAGGCAGTGGCAGGATGATACACTGGATTTATAAAGTTCATTCAGCTTCTTCACAACTAGAGTAAAGGAAAGAAATGCTTCAGGTGCTACTTCCAGCTTCCCCTGTGCCTCCAGGTCCTCAGATGAGTAAATTCAAGACAATGGGGTTATGTTAAAGCCAAAAGAAAGACTGGCAGGGAAGTACTTCCTGCATTAACTGTTTGTTGGTTCTCTTCCTTTCCTCTGTCACCTTCACCAGTTACAAGCCTGCAGGTGGCAATGCCTACACATATGCCTAGTTCACCTAAGGCCAAGTCTATTTTTGTTTCCTTCAGCTGCCACGAGGCAGAGAGCAGTTTACACCATGTAAGGTGTCTCACGCACCACCAGAGGCAGCAGCCATGCCAGACACAAAGCTTCTGCTGCTTGATGGGTGCTGACGTGCCTGAAGTACATGGCTTGCATGTGGTTAGCTTGAACATATGGAGGATGTAGAGCTAAACTGGTGCATCTTGCTCCATACTGCCTGCTAGTATGTGTGCTCATTGTATTTAACTTCTATTTTTTGACACCCCATCCCAAGGCATCATTAATAATTTCAGAAACTCTTGGGGAAGGCAGCTGATGTGTCAAGCACTCCAAGTGCTCAAAAAAAGCTCCCTCAGTATTACTAAAATGGTAATTTTAAAATTATTTTTTGTTATCACTAAATCACAGCCAGCTCACATCACAGTCAGATGGAAGTGGAAGGCCATAACACTAATAAAGAAGTGACTCTGGCATTACCAACATTTTACTTCCTGTGTTTTTGTTTCACTTGAAAACTCATCACTGCCAAGACAGGTCTTCATTTGCCAAGTAAGCACTTCCTAGGACATGCACTGTATTATTAAACTGGACTCACGTCAAGTACAAATAAGCACATGAGATAGAGCTGTACAGGGATCAGATAAGATACATTCCCCTCTTACTAATTAGTGCTGAAGATTCTCACAGGGGCATAAGCAAGAGCTTTGAGACGTAAAGTCAATGTAAAGGGACAAACACTCCCCTCAGTGCAAATAAAAAAGACCTGGCTGTGCAAGGTGACAATAAGAAATAAAGCACTGGCCATACCAGTGAGGGTTCACACTGACTCAACCTCCCCCCCATACCCTTGGTGATATTTTTCATCCATCCATTCCAGTTGAGTCCTTCGTGCCATGTGCCCAGTGCCCTCTTACCTTGCTTGACAGTGGAGGAGAGGCAGAGCTTGCCAGCTTTGATCTGCTCTATGGCCATCTGCAGCCCAGAGGACAGAAGCTCTGCTACTTTCAGGTACAGCACAAGCTGCTCTGCATAGCTGCAAAGAAAGGACATTGCAATGCAGAGCCAGGTGGGAAGTGTGTCCTGAAGGACTTCTGGTACTTAACCATACACGGGGTGGGAGTGACAGCAGCTGGGCAGCTCTCCCAGGTCCTTACCTCCACTCCCTGCTGAGGAGACTGATCTGGTCAGCCACCACGCTCTCCTGGAGCTGGTACTCAGATGTCACTGAACTGCTCATCTCACTGGAGCTGCCTTTGAGGGCGGCGATTTCCATCACGTAGTGGACAAAGGCCAGTGTGAAGCGCAGGCTGCGCAGGATGTCCGTGTGCTCTTGCTGTTGGAGGGACACCAAGGTAGGGGTTAGAGGGAAAGCTGGTATTGCAGGGAGGGCTGCTCACCCAGAGCTGTGCCAGCAACTCGGATGAAACTCAGCTTACAGAAACAACACCTGGGCCTCAACCCCCCTAACATCTCTGCTTTGGGTAGGGACAGACAAAACCAGCCCCCAGCTCGCACACCACACCAGCTCCTCCTCCACAGTAACAGCAGCAAGTGTTGGCCCAGGCAAGAAGTTTCCAGGCAGCTCCCTAGAGAAGCTGCTGAGTCTTGCTCCAAAATTACATGCCCCCTTCCCATGGAGCACCCCAGCTCTGTGGGACTCTCTCAGAAGTCAGCCAGGAAGGGGGAGAGAGCATCTGCACCATGGGCTTGGTTCTGGTCCCCACCACAGCAATGCTGGTACAAAACTGAAAGTGGTGTGGATTTCATGAGAGTGACAATAGAAAATGGCAACCACAGTGTGGCCCACCCTACAGCCCAGCCTTTGGTCTGCATAGCCTCCCAGTTTAGTGCAGTGATCCCTGGGTGAGGTCCTCTGAAGAGACAGCAAGAACAACCTTCTATCTACAACTCCTGTCCAGCCAGGGAGGGGAGAGAGCCTCTCACACTAAGTGCCGTGTTCATTTCCAAGCAGTTTTTCCTCTGCTATTACAGATGAAAGGGAATTATTCCATTTCTGGGAAGCTGCATTGCTCAAGTCACTGAAAGCACTTTTGGGAAGTTAGTATTTCTGGAAAAACCAAATGCTTGTGGGTCTACAAAATGAATTGTTCCCTGGATCAGATGCAACTCCATTGTTCATGCTCTCTCTGTAGAGAAGTGCCTAACCTGCTTGATCCTCAAACATTCAGTGTCTCTGAAAGGGAAAGGTTGTTTCCTACATGAATTTAGGAAAAAAACCCAACTCCACACTCAAGTTCTACAAGCTTTTGTTTTTCATTCACTGGCTCACACACCATGATCTTGCTACCTGGACAGTCCAGTAGGGTAAGGAAGTGTTATCTCCATCTTCCTCTATTTCCTTTAAGAGCAGAGGAGGAACTTGGAGATTAAATAATTGCCAAGTCATACCAGAAGTTTGTGGCAGAGCAGGAAACTGCTGAGACCTTGCAAGTCTCAGCCTGGTATCTCTAACCAATGAATAGTCCTTCCTCTCCACTTACACAGTTGGCTTGTATTCATTTCGCTGGCATTCATGGTCTCATTTGGCATTACAGATCTTCCCTTCCACAGTCATCTCTGTATCATGTTTTTAAAGCAATGCAACCAAAATAAACCCCAGCCTTTAATTTGCTTCGTCTGCACCTAGAGACACTTCTTCAAAAGATGGAAGAATCACCTCTCTCAACATAACAGATAAAGAGAGCTGCTTAAATACCAAGTTTTCAATGCTCTGAATTATCTGCAGAAAATAGAAAAGCTGCCAGGTTTGCATTCTGGCCAACTCCACAGATCACCAAGAGGTCTTAAAATATGCTGTGAAGGTTCAGTGCTGGAAAGGTTTTGCAACATGTAAATGGACTACTGTGCTCAGCAGAAATGATCACTGAACCCAGAGGACCCATTACAGATATGAGAAGCTGGATTGAGTGGTGTTGACAACATCAAGCTGATACTTCCTTAGGACACAGCTCTTCAGACCAGTGTCCAAAGTGGTGGCAGCTGCAGTGCCCCATACTCCTGGGACCTCACAGAGGTAAGGATGCTCAGTTAAACTCACTACTGTGATCACATCAATGCTGGAAGTCCTAGCCCCTTGGCTCTGAGGGTAATTAAGTTAATTAATGCCATTCAATGCATAATTGAAAAAAAACCAAAAACCTGAGCTAAATAAAATCTGAAGAGCACACCCACATCCTTAAAACAGTATCTGCATATCTCTGTGGGCATCTAGGGATTTTTAGCAACACCAGCAAAATTCAGATGCAGAGAGCCTTCCCCCATCCCAGACAGCCCAAGGAAGTGTCATGAACAAAGCTGAAACAGTGACTGAGTATCTGCCTCCCACCTCTACTGCAAACGGGCAGCCTGACCTACATTTCAAATATGTCTCAGCTACAAAAGCTTTTGCTCTGCTTCAGCCTGCAGAGAAGGGAAGCCTGGCAGCCTTTCAGCTCAACAATCTGGTTCAGTTGTTGTGGTACAGAACGTGGTGTCCCCTCACCTCATCAGCCATACAACTGTCAGGTTTGCTGTTTTTCAGATCCTTCCAGCAGAGGCCCTATCACTGCCTGACTCCCCAGGCACACGCAGCAGGCAGTCACTTGATACACTGAGCTACTCGTGCCCTCAAGTCACCTCTTACTGATGTTGAGCCTTTTAAAAGGGAAGAGGCCCAAAGTACCCAGGTTTTCTTCAGAACACACCATATAACTGATGTTCGCAACCTGCAATTTCAGCTTTGGAAACAGTGAATTTTAACCTGTCATGGGCTGTCCCATGGACTGAACAGCTCAGTAGCAGGCTCAAAAGCCACTCTGCTGAACATGCCCTGGGCTGCTTGAGCACTGCCCTGGCCTGGCTCTCTTGAGGACAGTTTACAGTGTCTTTGGATGCAACCTCCTTGGCTGCAAACATGGAGCCATCTGACCTCTGGATTTGCTTTCCTTTTAATCCCCCCATCCTTTGCCTCCAGCAAGTCCCTGGGATATACCCACCTCCATGAGGGTCTCCTCGGGCAACTCTGGTGCCTCGAAAGTAACAGCACCTTCCAGGTTGGCGGTGATGGGATCAGCAAAAGTGTAGCGGAGACTTGAGGGGCCTTCCAGTGCATCCCCACCAGCTCCCACTGCCAAGTGCCTGCCGGTGAATGAGCCTCCAGAACTGAGAGAGCTGGAAGACCCCACTGGGAAGAAAAATAGGCAAAGGAATTACTGAAGAGATTAACAGTAGTCCAGGTATTCCTTGCCGAGCAGAGGGGACAATCCTGTAGCATCCGGAATCCTGGCTTTGATAGGAGCCAGGAACAGGTACTTTGGAGGAACATGCAAGGACTCTTGATGCAGAATCACCACACCCCAACATCAGCTCCTCAACAACTCAGACAGACCAGCTTACAAGCTCAAGCAGATTCCAGAAAGCACCTTCCAGAAATTCTGTCTTTTATGGAGACAATTCAGAAGCACTAGTTTTTTTTCTTTTTTTGTCCAAACACTTTCTGAACCCTGCCCCAACATCTTGGGCTAATTCATACACCACCAGAGCCAACCTTCTCATCACAGATTAGTATGGTTTGAACCCTGGTTCCCTAGTCTTTACACTGTCATTGAATGAGCTCTTCTGATAAGTGAGGTTTTTATTACGGTTTTAAAACCTCAACCACTTATATGCAAACCAGGAGGCCTTTCAATTACATGCCCTGCACTTCTGCTTCCCCCTCTTCACAAATAGGATGCTGGGCAGAGAGTGCTTTCAGCTGAGTCAAGATCCTAACCTCAGGATTCACAAGACCCTGTAAAGTGTCCAGCAGACAATTCCCTCACCATCATCTTTCGCCCTTCTTGACCACTGAATTCACCCTGAAAGCAGGTAACATATAAAAGATGGACACTTCAAAAGGACTTTCTGTCTTGGGATATTCGTAATACATTCACCACTTCCAGAGGGTTTCATATCCCCTGACATTGCTGCAGAGGAATATATTCTGTCATGGGGATGCAAGTACTAGCTGCAACACTCTGCTAATTCTACCAAGGTGATTTTCTCCACTGTCACTGATCCTTTTGAGGGAGATGTTTCTCTTCCACCCTACTCTGCCTTCAAAAGGTTCAGCATATAATGTACAACTGATCTGCAGAGAGGTACAGTCTCCTTTCCTCCCAAAGCTCTACCCCTGCTGGCTGCTATGCTTCAAAGCTAAGTGGCCCAACAAAGACCAGCAGAGTATTCCCAGATCTTTCAGAGAGGAAAGGACCAACAGCATCACATTCTGGATACTCTGCAATTCCAAGAGGCTGTTTACTGAAATTGTTATGATGACTAACGAAAAGGCTCTGGCTTTGTATCCTCTCAAGTGGTCTTACTCATGGCTTGTTCCAAGCACTTGAGGTGCAGATTTTCAGCTTGCAAAACTCCCCTTTTCACCAGTAACTTTGTGCATTAAGTATAACAAAAGGAGTTATTGCACACACCTAACAAACAAAGCCTGTCAAGCAGCATTGCTTTGACTGCCTTCATCCAACACTGTGTACGTGTTGCAGGTTCACTACTCAACAGCCTTCTCTTCCACGTGTCCCACCTGAGCTCCTGACTGTCTGGCAGACTCTTAAGGATCCAAATATCAACCCACTAAAAACTGGTGCTTGGATGTGCTTCCAGATTGCTATTATCCCCACAAAAGCAATACAGGAAGTCTGAATTCTCTGTTCATAACATTTCAGTAGTAGATACAGGCTGCAGCCAGGATAGTTAACCCCATTGTGCTACAGGCCTGTCAGACACTCTGTAAGACTCCCCTGCTCTACAGAGCTTTCCTCTAAATAGATGAGACAAAGAAAGGATTATGGGCCCAACTTTCCAGACAAACAAGGATGCAAGTGGTTTTATTTAGGATGGAAATGCAAGCCATACCCAGGAATGGAGCCCATGAGTCCCCCATCCCAGTAAAGCAGCTTAATCACAGTTACATCCAAACCTTCCCTGCAGTAATAAAGAACAACAGAGTCGACTACATTCAGACGAGGAACAGCCAAGACAAGAAAACCAAACAAGCCAAAAATGCACATGAAAGTGTCCAAATATTTTCTTAAACTGAACATAGACTCCAGCTCCCAGACACACTATCCCAGAAGGGCCAATTACCACAGCCTCAACTGTTGGCTGATGAGGCCAGAGCACTGGTGTCTTAAATGAAGTTATCTGTCAAGCAAGAGTGCATTTCCCCATCTCCTACATAAGCTGCTCAAAGTGCAAGTAATAACACTGATAATTTTGCATACAGAGCCATCCTGGCCTGTTCCTCACTGTACTCGTGCACTGAAAATTGTTGGGCATGGATGGTCACACCTGCCTTTCACAGCTCATCCAAAACCCATGGGGAAAACAACCAGAACACAACACAATCTTTATGTTTCCTGACCTATGAGCAACAGTGGGTCTATGAACAGCTGCAGCATTATTCCTGAAGCAGAGAGAAATGAAGTAAAAGAATAGTTTGCCTCTCTCTTCCAGTATTGGAAAATCACTGTATAGCATTAGTTCTTGTGCCAGTGAAAACAGTTACCAGCAGTAACGGGTTGGCAGGAGCCAGCATGAGGACCTCAAAGGCATTTAGACCAGCTGAGCTCTCTGGACTGTGCTCTGAGCAGCCCTCTGCCACCACCAGTGTTCAGCAGCAAGGAATTCAGCACATCGCTCTGCCCCCGGGCATTCCCACTGGAACAGGCAGGTAGGTATCAGCCCTTTACCTGAAAACATCCTGGTCCTCGTGGTCTGTGGGGGGGTTGTTCCACTGGGAGGGGATCCGACAGTAAAAATCACTGGGGACGGGCTGGAAGAGCCCCCAGCCCGGGCACCAGAGTGCAGGGTCCCTCCACAAGCACCTGAGGGAGCTGGGGAGACAGTTGAAAGGTGCAAACTGGCATTACAGGAAAGTTACTCCGAGCATGGTGTGCCTCGCCCAGCAGATTTATGTTCCTGCAGAGTCTCTTGGGAGACAGTGGTTACCAGCACAGGCCAGCACTCCCTTTGGAGGCATCTCCCAAGGACACGACCAGGCCAGGCTGGCATGGACTACAGGCCAGGAACCTGGGCAGCACCACACATTGCTGCAGCTGTTCTCCCTCCTTGCTTCCCAGCCTGCAAGCCCAGGAAGACCCACCCTTGCAGAGCCATTCATATTCAAACCACCTGGCAGAAAGTCCCACTTCCACATGTTCTCACACTCAAAAGGGGCCAGAAGAGGAAGCCCTGCCTGCAAAAATCACACCACTAGCCAGCAATTACACAGCAGGCGTGGCCAAGGACCTTCGAGTGCTCCACAAAAGAAAGCAAACAGCAGCATTACACTCCTCACACACAGCAGTCACTTCCTTTGCCAAAAGCCATCAGAAAAGCAGTTTCCTACTTGTAGAAGGCATGCAGACAAACTGTTCACCCCAGGCCAAATCAGGACATCTAGCCAGATCTGCCTGGCCTCCACACCTACCTGCAATTTCCATTGGCTTTTCGTTGTTCAAGCTGTCGTTGCTGCCAGCTTCAGAGATCTGTGCCCCAAAGGCTGCCTTCAGAAGCAGGTCAGTGAGCCTGCCTGTGCTCAGAGATCTAAAAAGAAGACATACAACACAATGCAGAAAGTCACCAGGTGCAAGGTTCCAGGTCACTTTCACTCCAGTTTGTGCCAATCCTGGCCCACAACCACTTGACATTACACAGCAAACAGTCTGGAGCTGAAATAACCACTGGGTCTATTCCCCCTTCAGCAGACCACCTGAAGCATCTCCAGCTACTTGCAGAAAGCATCAAACTATCACGACTGACTGCAGTAATGCACATACAGATCACAGCACTATTCTAACACATTTTTTCTTTGTAGGAAGATACAGAAAATAGAATCAAAGGACTCCTCCAGATCACTAGAGAAAGCTGCAATCTGCAGAGAGGTAGGTAAGAAAAGCTTAACACCAACACCTGAGTGACTTTGTATCCTGCAATGTTCATGGCAGTTAGTGTGTGGCTTTCAAACAGATCTCTGGTCTGAAGAACAGTGCCCACTGTTTGATAGACAAGAACACCCATCATTTCCTCTCATCCATGGCAGGCACAGGCTCAACAGAGAGCAGGGCACACATCTGCATCATTGCAGGGAGTCTGGTCTAATAACAAAATCCCTGATCCTCACTTGATGGAACTCCAGACACTAAACACAGTGGGAAGCTGCAGAAAATCTTTCATTTTATAAAATCTAGGCTATGGCATGTCCCTGTAGAGGAAGACTTTAAAAATCTGTATCATATGTGCTTGCAACCCAAGGGAGCTAGCAGTTTGCAGATGCTACATTACAGCATAAATGTTATCTGAGGCTTGACTATTGCCCCATCCATCCTGTATTAGGGGACAAAGCACCACCACATAAAGCAGACTATAGCTCACCTGCCCTTGATTTCTTCCACAGGCCTCAGTCCCAAGCCAGTTTGCTGGCAGTGGAAATGACCCATCTCCTTCAGATCTGGCAAGGTCTTGTTCCGTGTTGGAGTCATCATGACTCCCTGATGGGCCAAGAGGGCGAGGAGATTCTGGGAACTTGGGGTTTTGGGAAACTCAAATGGGGATACAGCCTAAGAAGAACAGAAAAAAAAACAGAGATCTGTCTTTAAAACAAAGGAAGAAGGTTTCACTCACCCCCTGCTACCCATTTGTTTAATTAAAATTAAATTGTATGCTTAACAACCTGCCTGAAATAAGGAGGTAGAAATCCCACCCCATGCAGCTACTTGTCTCCAATCCCAGACTAAAATGAAAGGACAACAAACTGCTGAAAGTTTATAGCAGCCTAAGACAAGCAGGGGAAATGCTGTCAGGGTGCAAGCTTCTCATGGGACATTAGGGCTGTCACCTGCTTAACTGTCTGCAGTCACTGCTGGGGATTCCTACAGGACACAGTAGCTGGGAGCAAACCAGCCCAGACACTGCAGCTCACTAACGTGCTCTGCCTCGCTGGGCAGTTTAAAACTCTGGACTCTGCTCAGGCAGTGAACACTGCTGCCAAGTGAGATCTGTCCAGCAAGAACTGGGACATTACCCCATTTCACACAGATCACTAAAAAGCCTTTGAGGAAAAGGAAGCAAGTGGTGATAAATCCAGGTCAGGAAACAAGTGGTGATAAATCCAGGTCAGAGTTACCTGATCATACAGCAGTTCACCCCCAAATAACCTGACCAATCAAGCTGTGAGAAACCCAAAAGCAGACTCTCTGGCATACCTTTGTAGGGGAGCCCAGGATAGTTGGCAATGGGCTTCTCTGCATGAACTCTGAGAGCTTTGGAGAGGACCTGAGCTGCCGGCAGTGCTGCAGGCCATGAGCCTGCAGGGGCTGGCTGCCTGGGCCATGCCCAAGGTGAGCAACCAGAGGATCCGAGTGCTGCTTGGTTATCTTCTGCCTGCAGGA